ATCTGTGATAAAATCAACTAAAATCTGTGATAAAATCAACTAAAATCAATGATAAAATCAACTAAAATCAATGATACAATCAACTAAAATCAATGATACAATCATGTGGAGGCAGAATAGGCTTGCTTAAAAAGAAAAGTCTTTAAGCCTTTTTTTAAAGTCAGTCAATGATTGTGGAGCTCTCAGATAGTCAGGGAGGGAGTTCCAGAGGCGGGGGGCAGCCACACAGAATGCCCGATCTCCCATTGTTCTTAATTTAGTTCGTGGAAGGTGGAGGAGATGACTGTTCTGTGATCGTAGGGACCGGGTGGATGAATATGGAGCAAGAAGGTCCTTCAGATAATCTGGTGATTTTCCGTATAAACACTGATGGCTGTTATCCACACAGAATCACCATTTGGTGCTCTTTTTCTTGAGAATCAAGACCAATGATGCCCGTGGACCGTCGGCTCAATAATGCTCAGCTCAAGCATACCATATATCCTTAAAGTCCCACAGCTGCCTTGGTTGCTCATCATCTGGGCCAGCACAGTTCTTCTCCCAGATGGACCGGATTGCCTTTGGTCCTCTGAGACTTCTACTTGCTGCTGTGGGGTCAATGCTGCCGACAATGGTGGACTGAATGTCACTGACCACTTGTTGAGTGGCGTGCAGACATGGTGTTTGTGGGAACCACTGAAGCAGCTTTATGGTCGGGTGGAGTCAGCTTTACAGCTTTTCTCTTTCGCCTTCGATGAAGATGGTTGCTCTTACCCTCCCTCCCTCCTGCTTTTTTGCTCTCTTGTCCTGTCAACCTCAGAGCCTCTCTTTACACATCTTCTGAATTGGAAATTATTATGGATTTGGTCAGCTGGTCCCTCAAAGCAATTGATTTTTTTTTTTTCCCACCAGACGACAGGGTGCTGGAGAGCCCTCATGCTCTGAATGGACCCTCGCAGATGGGTATGTCATGGATTCTTGGAATGAGTGGAAGATGGTATGTCTATCTGTGCTGTCCCTGGAGGACATAGAAGATGTGTACATTAATGGATTTATGATAACAGAGTTTCTGCTTTTTGGAATCAGTGGATACCTTGGATATCAACAAATTAGTAAGACGTCAGCAGCAGTTTTGGCCATGGTAAAGCTACCAGCCTTATGTGAAGGATTAATTTGTGCCTCAAGCTCTCAAACTCATATGCTTACCGAGCTCAACCGCAAGCTGGATGCGATTTCTGAGAATTGTAGGCCACTTGCGACTCCTGGAACTCACCAGAATGAAGGATTCAATCTTGGAAAATACTAAATCAAGCACGGACTGGGCAAAATGTCTACTAATTCTGGCTGTTTGGATTCGCCATTGAGTATACTAGCAGAACTTGAAGGCAGACAGAAAACAGAGTCTGGCAGCCCAAACAATTGTTGTTTAGATTAATTTGGCCTCCCCGCTGGCCTTGGACAGGCCAACTTATCTCAAATTGCTCCTGGAGGATATGTAACTAGAAGCTCTGCCTGCCCCCCACCTTCCCTCCCGAGGACATCTGTGGCCTTATCAGAACCATGATGCTGATAGACACTGTACCATCATATCAGAACTTTGCAACTCTGGAGTGTTTATGGATAACTCACCGGCTTTGTCGACCTCTATGCATAAATGTATTATGATGTCATTGTATGTCTATCCCGGCCAGGAAATGGTGTTAGACATGATTTTTTTGGCTTCCTCCATCCTCGCGTTCTCTTTTTCTCATCTGCATGTATGTATGTAATCAGGTCTTTCTTGTAAATGAGTCTTCGAGACTCAATGGGAGCTAACCTGTATAAAGATCTAATTTAACATGCTGGTCGGTCGGCAGTATGAGCTCAGCAGATCTTAGGTTCACCACCATATACCATCTGTAAGTGTGTGTGTGTGTGTGTGTGTGTGTGTGTGTGTGTGTGTGTAAGTGAGGGTGGGTAGTCTGCTCAGAGTGAATGTGGGAGTCAGCACTTAACCTTCCTTGAAGTTTCCACATCACTAACTCTGACTTTCTTCTTTTTGTCCAGCATCCCTTTCCTTCTGCATTCTGTTCACTTTCCCCCTTATTTACCTCTTGATGTTTGGTTGTCTCTATGAAAGTAATAAAGTACCATTTATATGAGGCAAAAGACTGAAGATGATGTGCTTCCTCTTGTTATGACATACCTACACATCCCTGTTTCTCCTTTATTCGGCTCAGGCTTTTACCAGACAGCCTAAATATTTCATGCAGAAGGTACAAGGAACTGAAGGTGAACATTATCATGCTTTGCCACTGTCTCCACTCTCATCGGCTCCACACCACACTGCACCAGTTAAGGGCCTGCCCACTGCCCGTACCCACCCCCACTCAGCTCGGTTTATGGGACCACCTTGTTTGTGGTTCCAAGCGGACTGCTCCAAGGTGACGATTTTGACATAAGCAGACAGCAGCCATTGAATGGCCAGAGGAGCCACATTACTGCAAAAGCAAGCAAAACTGTTAACTACATCTGAACCTCCACTTCCTCATCATGTTGACAGATAGAATCACAAGAAATTATCATATTTACAGAGAGATATCAGAGATGGTGGCACAGCAAGGCTACATCCGGACTTATAAGCAGTGCCAGGATAAGCCAAAGAAATTAAAGTCTAGGGTGATTAAGGACCACAAAGGGCGGAATGGCTTGAACACAATGACATGTTACAATACTGCCCACTTTGCACTGATAATACCACCCACTTTGCATTGAAGAACCTGCCCACAGAGGGGAGAAACAGGTCAGCCTCCACTATAGTACAAAGTAGTAAATCACCTAAACCTGAGAAAAAAACCAAGGTAAGGAGAGCCGAGTGGAGCCGCACTTACCAATGGCAAAGTGGCATGTGTCTGCTTTATACATTGTGACAAATGTAATACTAGTTCTGTAGTCGCCTGTTAAAACTACTATGTACACTGTACACGCTTTATATTAGGATCTGTATGGTATAGTACAGTACAGTATACATGGATTAAAGCTGGAAAAAATATTTTTGGATTGAAATTTTTTCTAGACCTAGAAGGTTAGAGGTAGTAGGTACACCTCCTGAGCTCTGTGAACTCGGCTGAACTGATAAGGATATAAAAGCAAGTGGAGAAAGTAGCTCCAGGCAGATTCTTGTGACTGGTATTACTGTGTACATTTATGTTTATTTATGTAACGTGTCGTGAAAATCTAACCTTGCAAGTAAAATCCTGGTTAAAAATATTTTCCTGCTGTCGAGTGTGGTTCTTCTTAGGTAAATAATGTAAGCGAGAATATTTTTCTCCCAGCAAATCTCCCTGCTCTGCTTTGATTAGGTCAAACTGTGGCTCTTCTCTTTATTGGTTGAAGTAGTGTCAATGTAATTCCTGTATCATCATTAGATTGGATGACTTCAACAAGACCACAACAAAACACTTTTTCTTCCCCTCCTCATTTTTATAGATGATGGAAATCAGTCCTGGCCACAATCAAAATGATGAAAATCTGTTGCAGCGACAGACAACTTGTAGTACTTATAGTTATCTGTAAGTCTGGGAAGCTCAGTCCTCACCTCCTTCTACAGGTGTGCAGTGGAGAGCATCCTGTGCTCCAGCATCAACATGTGGCATGGAGGCTGCACAGCTGCAGAAAGAAAAGCTTTGCAGAGAGTGGTGAAGGCTGCACAGAAGTCTGTTGGAGTCAGTCTCCTCACCATCACAGACATCTACACCTCCAGATGCAGGAAGAGGGCCACCTGCATCATGAAGGACCCCACTCACACATCACACACACTTTTTGCCCCGCTCCCCTCAGGAAGGAGGTTGAGGAGCATTAAGTGTAGAACCACTAGACTGAGGAACAGCTTCTACCCTGAGGCTGTTAGACTCATGAATCTCAAATCAGAATAATCACTGTGAAAAACCACATCATGTTGCTGCTGATCTGTTTCATGTTGCTGCTGATCTGTTTCATGTTGTGTTCATTTGTGCTCATCTGCTCACACAGACTGATGTTTGTGCTGCTGTTCGATGTGATGTTTTTGGGCTATTAGTGATTAGTGTATATTTAGTTGATGTTTTTCTTAGTTCATATCTTAGATCTTATTACTGTTTTTCTTTTACATTTTATTGTTGGATGTAACTGGGACCCTGTGTACATAATTTTGTTCCACCACATGCACCACATGGGGTGCGAATGACAAATAAAGAACCTTGAATCCTTGTATAGTAATATAGTACTGTACAATACAGTATAGTACTGCTTAATACAGTATAATATTGTATAGTATAATAAAGTACTGTAAAGTACAGTACTGTATAGTATGGTATAGAACAGTACAGTACTGTTTAGTATACTGTATAGGGGGCTGTGGCTGAGTGGTTAGAGCAGTCGTCCTCCAGTGCAAGAGTTGGGGGTCCGATTCCACCAGCAGTCACATGCCGAAGTGTCCCTAGGCAAGATAATGAACCCCTCATTGCCTCCGATGTGTGTCCCATCAGTGTATGAATGTGATTTTTTTAAAATGTGATAAAGCACTGATTATTCTTTCTTTCAGATTTTCACTCAAGTCCTAAATATAGATAAAGAGAACTCAGTTAAACAAATGAGACACAAATATGTAATACTGGATCATTTTCCTCAGTAAATAAATGACCAAGTATAATATTTTTGTCTCATTTCTTTAACTGGGCTCTCTTTATCTACTTTTAGGACTCGAGTTAAAATCTGATGAGGTTTTAGATCATATTTATGCAGAAATATAGAAAAGTGTAAAGTCTTCACAAACTTAGTCTTCCAGAGATTTCAGACAAGCCGTAACAAACATTCAGAGTGTTGATGTGAGGCTCAGTGTGTTTGTTAGTATTAATAGACTTCTTATTTTATTTAATTAAGGTTTTTGCTATTCTTGTGTTCACTGTACTCCCTGATGATTCCAGTGCTTCTCTGTTTCCCCTGTGTATCTGCTCCTGCCCTGCCTGCCTGTTCCTAGTTGTCCTTTCACCAGGTGTTGTCTTTATACTCTCACTCCCTCAGTGGAACATTGGACGTGCCAGTCATGATTTCTTCCCTGTGAACACCCCTGTGTTTCCCTGTTGAACTTTTGTAAGTAGGATGGCCGCCACAACAGTGATTTAGTTTTGTTAGTGAATAAGGTTTTATTGCGGCACAGTGTCTCAGTTGGAAGAGCTGCTGCCTCGCAGTGAGAAGGTCGCCAGATCGAATCCCGGCTGGGGGCTTTTCTGGGTGGAGTTTGCATGTTCTCTCTGTGCATGCGTGGGTTTTCTCTGGGTACTCTGGTTTCCTCCCAAAGACCAAAAACATTCACGTTAGTCTGATTGGTAACTCTAAATTGTCTCCAAGTGTGAGTGAGAGAGTGAATGGTTGTTTGTCTCGTTAGTCTCTATGTGTCCCTGTGATGGACTGAAGACCTGTCCAGAGTGTCCCCCGCCTCTCGCAGAGTAATGGCTGGATATGGGCACCAGTGACCCCCGTGACCCAGAAAAGAAGAAGCAGGTAAAGATAATGGATGGATGGAATACATTTTTATTTATCTCTTGAGTCCTGCCTACATTCCTGGGTTCCAAAACTTCCCTACTGTCATGAGAGTACATGCTGATGAATGTATCAGTCTGACAGGAGTTAAGTAAACTTTGAACTAACCAGACATGGTGATCACATGGATTTAATAAAACGTGCAGTTTTGGCAGCATCACACTATACAGTCGATTTGCAGAGTAACAAAGATGTTGGTTTGAGAAAACAGAGACAAACTAAACAAACGTGTCATGCTAATGTGTTGACGTTTAAAATTAGCTAATGTAGCATTCTTTCACACAAGTACATTGTTTTTGATAAGGAGTTGTGTTTTAAGCCTGAAAAAGATTTTATTTAAAATAAAATGACACTTGTTTAGCTAGCCATTAGCCTAGCATGGATGAAGGCTTTTGCCTATTTCTTAATATTTCTTGCTCTATGACTGATGCCCCAGCTGATAAGGTGCAAACTACTAATAACTATTAGACAAGTTCACTGATGTATCCCTTTAATGAGAACCAGTTAAATGTCCTGGAATGGTCCAGTTAAAGCCCAAACTCAATCGAAACAAGAATCTTTGGTTTGATTTGGACTGCTGAACACAAGCAGCACCATCCAACTTGGCCTATCGAGAGCCGTTTGGTCATGAAGAACAGACTTGATTTAAGAGTCCACATTGATCAAGCTCATGGAGACGAATGGTCTACAGAGTTAAAGTTTTTTGTGATTGGAACAGGGATCATTTATAATGTTATATATTTATGTCTAATGTATTTATAATGTATATGTGGAACAATGCAGCATAAGAAGTATTCAGCAGGTTACCATGTACACAGGACTGGGTGTTATTAAAGTGAAAAGCTTGAGTTAGCGTAAGCTTGATTAACTGCAGTGAACACCGAAACCAGATCTGAATCATGTACCGCAGAACAGTATTTAGTTCAGTGTATGACAGTACATAGTGTGGTATAAAACACTACAGAGGATAGAACAGTTGTGTAATTGTACTGAACGTACCGGGGGTCTGTTGATGAGCCAGTAGGCCTGCTCCTGACATTCAAGAACAATCCGGTCAGCTTTCCTCCTCTGTTTGGATGCTCTGCACATCAAAATCACAATATCAAGGTTCAAGTTTCTTTATTGTAATTTGCATCGCATGTGGTACATAAGGTGGAACAAAATTGTGTACTCAAGGTCCCAGTTACACCTAAAAATAGCAATAGTATAAATTATAACAAAGAAACAGTAAACAAAGATCTAAGATATACGCTAAATAATAATAATATAATACGGTGTATTAAACAGCAGCCTGAACATGAGTCTGTTGTGAGCATTTGGCTATGAATATAGCAGCTTATGGGTGAGAAATCAGCTGCATAGATAAAGTGTCAAATCTCCAGTTAAAGTGGCATTACAGTGATTATCCTGGTTAGAGATCCACGAGTCTAACAGCCTCAGGGTAGAAGCTGTTCCTCAGTCTAGTGGTTCTACACTTAATGCTCCTCAACCTCCTCCCTGAGGGGAGTGGGGCAAAAAGTGTGTGCTGGGTGAGTGGGGTCTTTCATGATGCAGGTGGCCCTCTTCCTGCATCTAGAGGTGTAAATGTCTGTGAAGGTGGGGAGACTGACTACAACAGACTTCTGTGCAGCCTTCACCACTCTCTGCAAAGCTTTTCTTTCTGCAGCTGTGCAGCCTCCATGCCACACGTTGATGCTGGAGCACAGGATGCTCTCCACTGCACACCTGTAGAAGGAGGTGAGGACTGAGCTTCTCAGACCAGCTCGTCTCAGCCGACTGAGGAAGTAGCAGATGTGCTTTCTTGGTCAGGCTGGTGGTGTGGTTGCCCCAGCTGAGGTTGTCATTCAGGTGCACACCCAAGTACTTGTAACTGGAGACCACTTCCACCATGGATGCTCCTATGTTCGGGGGGAGGGGGGGGGTGAACAGGAGGGGGCTCAACACACAGCCCTGAGGGGAGCCAGTGCTGAGGATTATGGTGGAGGAGGAGAAGTTGTGGATCCTCACAGACTGCGGCCTGTTGTGGAAATGCAGGACCCAAAATCCAGGAAATCCAGGAAATCCAGGACCAATTGCATAGGGAGGGGCATGTGTATATGTGTGTGTGTGTGCACATGGGGGAATTGTGGCGCAGAGGTTAGAGAAGATGGACCAGTGATTGGAAAGTCACAGGTTCAGCTTCCGGTACTGTCAACATAAAAATGTGGGTGGAAAAGGTGAAACACCCACACCTGCCTCCACCCTCATCTGCCCCACTCTGGGCCCATGAGCAAGGCCCTTAACCCCCACCATCTGCTCCCTAAACAGGTCTCTCTTGAAAATGAGTTCTTGTGACTCAATGAGACTACCTGTATAAATAAAGGGTAAATGGATAAACAATGCACGTGTGTGCGTGCGTGCGTGCGTGCGTGCGTGCGTGCGTACCTGAGCTGCTCTCTGGCTTGCATCACCACAAAATCCCAGGTGTGGTTGATCTTCTTGTGCAGCAGACTGTACCTCTCCTAAAACAAGGTGGGATGAGAAACAACGAGGCAGACTTCTTCAAGTAGAATCTTCCCAGCATAAATCATTATAGAGACACACATGTTCTCTGTGTCTTTCACACACATGCACATCCTACCCTTTCATATTCCATCAGTTCTCCTTGTTTCCTTATGTTCTTTTTAGCCAAATAGATTGCTGTGGATGGAAGGTGAAAACAGCCATTAAAGACATGAAACAGAGGGTGTTTGTGTCCAGACCTGCAATTATCATGTATTTATATAATCTATTCTTATTTTTGAAACAGATGTCTTTTTATATACAGATATTTTATAGTTTATTTCTTACCATAATCCAGCTCCGAGGCAGGCCATCTTGTACTCATCCAGAAGTAAGGAGTCTGGAAACACATTAATGATTAGACCGAGAAGCAAATAGATGAGTTATGAAAAAATTACAGTAATGAAACAAATGTAAAATGTTAAGATGCTGATAAAGAAAAAACTGAACTTTATTAGAGGATAAGTGGGAAAATAGCATGTTTTTAATATGAAGTGTTGGTGATGTCACCTGGAAGCGGTAGGGAGCCTCATCAGGTTGTAACACTAGGCACCGTGGTTCTTTCAGGGGGTAAACATACCCGTGTCTGAGCAGCATACCACCCAGATGTAGAGCTTCTGATGAAAAACACAGAAGAGTTGTCATCTTCATTAAACAAAACGGTTCTTGAAAATAATCTCACATCAAATGAGCCTCTGATTAACTGCTGTTACAGGGTGGCCTTAATGTTTAATTGGACGACATGACTTTATTCCTTTCATTAAACTTTTTTAATCAATTATTTTATTAAGAAATACATATGTCATGTGTCCTTTTTACTGACCCTTACCGTGGAGGGCGAACATTCATATAACTTCCTGCGTCTGTGTGTCTCATTTGTCCATATGTGACAATACTTCATGAACCAAAGAACGAGTTTCAATGAAACTTTCAGAAAGTATTCACTGGACAAAGTTATACAGCTGACTAATGTTTGGTTTCAACCCCAGTCAAAATGGCTGTCAAAGCCAAGTGACCTAAGCAAATGCAAAAAAAAAAAGTTTTACATATCTAGAGCTGAAGGTAAATGTGATTATGGCCGAGTCATCCCCAACACATACACCAAACACTTACAGATCACATGGCATCTTTATTTAAAACTTTGGCATGAAAAGTGGCAAATGATCACATTCCTACAAGGAAACACCGCTTTCATTAAAACTAAAGTTCAAGATGGATGATTTAGTGGTTCTTTCCATCCATCCAGTCAGTCCGTCCATCAGGTCACAATGGCAGCAGTTTGAGCAGGGAGGCCCAGACATAACCTCTTCCAGCTCTTCTGGGAGGACTCCAAGGCATTCCCAGACCAGCTGAGGGACATAGCCTCTCCAGTGTGCTCTGGGTCTTCCCTGGGGTCTCCTCCCATTTGGTCATGTCCAGAAAACCTCCCTACGGAGGTGTCCAGGGTTCATCCTTACCAGATGTCTGAACCACCTCAATGGTCTCTGGATGTGGAGGAGCAGCAGCTCTACTTCGAGTCTCTCCTGGAGAACTGAATTTCTCACCCAATCTCTACGAGCTTCTCTTAGACACTCTGAGTCTCTAAGATCTGTAAAATTGCCTGAGTTATATCAATTTTATCGCCCTCCTTTGCTTTTGTGCTTTTGCAGGTGATAAAAGAAGAGAGTTTCTTTTTCACACACACACACACACACACGCGCGCGCGCGCACGCACCCACGCACACACACATAAACCAAAGCTTTACAGTAGTTGTGCCAGAGCTGAAACACCTCACCTCCTGTCTCTCTTTACAGCTTTGAACAATCCCACTTTCAAGAATGACAACTAAAATAATAGGTGGGCACCATTCTACAGCACCATGCAATTTGACAGTCCACAAAAATGTCCAATACATTTTATTTTCCGTTTGCTCCTTATTTTAATTTGCACTGAACCAAAAGGGAACAAAGTGCTCCTTTTCTTTCCAATCCTTAATTTAGTTCAAGCATGGTAATGTCCCCAGAAGTGAGGACCTCAACAGGGACACTAATCAAACTCACATTGTCAGGTGACTTCATCTAACCTGGTCCCAGAAGGGCTCACCCTGTTCCTGTTTACTGGAAACAGCAGCCCCCGTATCACACACACTAATCACTTCCACCTTGTCTGGAGAGAAAACACCATCTCCCAGCAACACACACACACACACACACAAAGAACAATACTGATATACAATAACCTACCTTCCTCACAGACTCTGTAGTTTTGGATCAACCAAGTAATTATATCAAGTCCTGTAAAAGAATCAGAAATATATTCAGCGAAACTGCAAAAACACTGAATGACTGAAGAAGCTACAGTTGAGCTGTTCAAATCAAAAGTAGCAAAACATGAGCTAAACACTAGCTAAAAGTCCAATCTGAATTATTTATACATATACATATGTAAAAAATACACAAGGTGTTTGCAACTGATGCTTCTTGAATTGCCACCTTATTATGGTGGAGGAATTTGTGTGCCTAAATGATCCTAGGAGCTATGTTGTCAGGGACAGTTGCCCAAAGTAGACCCAAGGCAGATTAGGCTTTGGTGACAGACCAGACAAGTCAAGGGGATTCAAAACATTTGTATGGACAGACAAAAGTAAGGAGCTCAGTGCCACTTGTCTGGCATGGGTTACATGAGCTTGCCTTCCTGTGGTCCCACCACTTGCCAGAGGGTCTATGCGGGTCTGGTACATGATTGCATGAACAATAGCCAAAGGTGGGGGCCTTGGCGATCTGATCCTGGATTACCAAAGCTGGCTCCTGGGACATGGAATGTCTTCTTTCTGGTGGGGAAAGAGCCTGAGCTTGTGCATGAGCTTGAGAGGTACCAACTAGATATAGTTGGGCTCACCTCAATGCACAACATGGGCTCCAGAACCAATCTCTCTGAGAGGAGCTGGACCTTATTCCACTCTGGAATTGCCCATAGTGAGAGACGCCAAGCCAGTGGAGTTTACTTATAACCTCTGGCTTGCGCCTGTGTGTTGGAGTTTTCCCAGGTAGATGAGAGGCTTGCTTCCTTGTGCCTTCGGGTGGAGGGGCAGGCTCTGATTGCTTGGTTGTTCCTATGTGCTGAACAGCAGTTTGGAGTACCCATCCTTCTTAAGGTTCTTAGCAAGGGTTCTGGAAGGTGCTCCAGCTGGGAACTCTTTTATTCTGCTGGGGACTTCAATGCCCATGTGGGTAACAACAGTGTGACCTGGAGGGTTACGATTGGGAGGAACAGAATTTTTGATTTGAACCCAAGCAATGTTCTGTTGTTAGACTTCTGTGCTAATCATGGTTTGTCCATAACGAGCACCATGTTCAAACATATGGGTGTCCATAAGTGCAGAAGGCACCAGGACACCATAGACTGCCGATCAATGATTGACTTTGTAATCATGTGATCTGATCTGCAGCCATATTTTTGGACACTTGAGTGAAAAGAGGTGCCGAACTGTCAACTGATCACCGCCAGATGGTGAGTTGGATCAGATGGTGGAGAAAGATGTGAGACAGACCAAAGACTCAAATGTAATGAGGGTTTGCTGGGAATGCCTGGCAGAATAATCCTTCAGGAGGATCTTCAACTCACAACTCCAAGAGAACTTCAACTGCATCCCAGTAAAGGTGAGGGATGCCTCCATTGTCAAAGTGGCTGCCATGAGTTTTATAACATTGTCTGTGCTAAGTGCAGTGGTCATCCTCAAACTTGGTGGTGGACACCCTTGGTTAGGGATGCCGTCAAGCTGAAGAAGGAGTCCTATTGGACCTTGTTGGCTGTTGGCTGGTAGGACTCCGAAGGTAGCTGAGGGGTATCAGCAGACCAAATGTGTTTCAGCTCTGGCTATTGCTCACACAAAAGGTCAGATGTGGGAAGAGTTTGGTGAAGCTTTGGATAGACTATTGATTGGCTCCATAGAGATTCTGTCAAACCATCAGGTGGCTGAGGCAGGGAAAGCAGCACTTTACCAACACTGTGTATAGTCAAGGTGTGGTGCTGTTGACCTCAGTCAGTGATACCATCAGGTGGTGGAAGGAATACTTCTTGGACCTT